AGGGAAAAGTTTTTGGATATTTTATTTATTTTATATGTGCAAATGTTCATCCTTGGAAAAGGTATATACTTTTTCGCGATCAGGTAATTTCATATATGTTCTTTTTACCGACTTTAAAGATTCACAAAATTTTCTTGCATTTTAGTGCAAATTTTTCTAATTTATGAGAAAAAAGTAGTGTACATGGATAAAGTCAAGAGTGTACGCAATGCCATTTTTGTGCAATTCTGGGATGTTTTTTTAAGTGAAAATAGGTCGACGTGTACATGGTTAGCGTGTAGGTGCCATTCTTAAAAACGTGGCAAGCAGTTTGCGATTCTGCACTTTCTTTGGTTGATCTTTATAATACGGTAACTGGTAGTTTGGCAACATTTTGGAGGTGATAAGGGTTACTATCTGGGACTTTGGTAATAATGTGAGCAGTACTCAGTTCCAATTACGCATTATTTTGTCTGAGGGAAATGAGAGATCATGGGATATGTCATGTGATATTAATGGACGAATTACGGTTCTTTAATCGGAAAAGGGGGGAAATCGGGAAAAATCTGGAAATTTTTTTTGGCTTATTCGTGTTTGTGTGAAACAGTGTTCGTAATTTTTTGGATCCCAGGCCGTAACTAAAGTGAATTCGAAATGGGTATTTAGGGTATTGAAAGGGTTAGTAAATAAATGTTTCTTTAGGTTGTGCGAGATGAAATAAAGATGTTTTATTAAGTTATTTTTTACCTGGTACTTGCTGTGAAATATAAGTATGATTTTAAAGATCCTGAAACAGAAAGAAGAAAAGTTTATCGGACACGTAATCAAAATTCTGAAGAAGATTAGGTAAGTTAGTATTTTTAATTATTTGAGGATATTATTTTTATGTATTGTTCTAAATGTAAGGTGGAAAGGAATTTGGTATTATTGGGAAAATTGTTATTAGAAATGATTTAGTTTAAAGTAATTAGGATTGTAAGGTAATTTTTATTGATTTAATGTATATGCTCATTTATATTTTAAGTAGTGTTTTTGAATTTAATTATATTTTAATGAAATGATAGTTATTTTGTGAATTTTATGTTTGTAGGAATTTGGTATACGTTTCAGTTGAAGTAAACGTGCATGGAAATAATTTAAATATCTGACACTAAGTATTTGTAATGGTTGCGGTATGAATTCGTTGGTGACGTTTATAATATAATAAATGATTTAGAGGGTAAAAGTTTTTGGATATTTTATTTATTTATATGTGGAAATGTTCATATTTGGAAAGGGTAAAATACTTTTTTCGTGATCAGGTAATTTCATATAGTTCTTTTTTTTACCGGGTTTAAAGATTGAGAAAATTGTCATGTATTTTCGTGAAATTTTTCTAATTTTGAGAAAAAAGCAGTGTACATGGATATAGCAAAGAGTGTGCGCAATGCCATTTTTGTCCAATTCTGGGATGTTTTTTAAGTAAAAATAAGTCGGCGTGTACATGGTTTATGTGTATGTGTTATTTTGAAAAACGCGTAAGGAGTATGGTATTGTGCACTTTTTCCCAATTTTGCAGTGAATATTTGTCATGATTAAGCAGTTTTGTTTGATAAAATTTCTAGCATAAGTGTAATTCGGCTAGTAGATTGTTGGAAGAAGTGTTCAGTAAATAAAAAGAAAAGAAACATGTCTTTGCTTCGTGAAGACAAAATGGCGGCAGGGAAAAAATAGAGGGTTGCTGTAGGAGAGTTGGTCGCCAAATTTTCGCCAAAAAATCGCCAAGTTACCATAATGTAAAGATCAACCCTTTCTTTTAATTTATTTATATTTTAATTAAATGACAGTTATTTTGTGAATTATATGTTTGCAGCATTTTGGAATATGTTTCAGTAGAAGTAAACGTGCATGGGAATAATTTAAATGTTTGACACTAAGTATTTGCAACCATTTTTAATATTTGCATTATAAATTCGCAGGTGACGTTTATAATAGATAATTTAGAGGGAAAAGTTTTTGGATATTTTATACGTGCAAATGCTCATCATTGGAAAGGGTATATACTTTTTCGCGATCAGGTAATTTCATATATGTCCTTTTTACCGACTTTAAAGATTCACAAAATTTTCCTGCATTTTCGTGGAAATTTTTCTAATTTATGAGAAAAAAGCAGTGTACATGGATAAAGTCAAGAGTGTGCGCAATGCCTTTTTTGTGCAATTCTGGGATGCTTTTTTTAAGTAAAAATAGGTCGACGTGTACATGGTTACCATGTATGTGCCATTCTTAAAAACGCGGCAAGAAGTTTGCGATTCTGCACTTTCTCCCAATTTTGCAGTTAATATTCATCATGATTAAGCACTTTTGTTCCATAAAATTTCTAGCATAAGCGTAATTCACTAGCAGATTTGGAAAAAATGTTGAGTAAATAAAAAAAAAAAAAGAAACCTGTCTTTACTTTCTGAAGACAAAATGGCGCCGAAAAAAAAAGTAGAAGATTGCTGTAGCAGGGTTGGTTTCCAAATCTTTGTCAAAAATCGCCAAGTTTCCATAATCAAAAGATTAACCAAAAGCTTTAATAGTAAAATATATAATCTTTTGAAATCTTGAATTACAGATAGAAGGAAATTATGGCTAATCTTTGGAATATGGTAACAGGTAGTTTGGCGATATTTTGGAGGCGATAAAGGTTACTACCTAGGACTTTGGGAATAATGTGAGAAGTACTCAGTTCCGATTACGCATTATTTTGTGCGAGGGAAATGAGAGATCATGAGATATGTCATGTGACATTAATAGACGAATCACTGTTCTTTAATCGGAAAAGGGGGTAAATTTGTAAAAATATCTGCTGTACTTTATAGCATTAGTTTCATTTTATATTCTGTGAAACAGTGTTGTTTAATATTTGGATCCCATGGCCCTATATAAAGTAATTCCATAATTTTTATTGTGTTTACGTGTAATTGAAAAGAATTGCTTAATTGCGGATAAGTATGAATGTCCAACATGTGGGAATGAAATGAGATTGTGTGAAAGGAAGGATATCACAGATAAGTTTGAATAGCGGTGCAAGAAATCTGGTGAAAATGGACATTTGGTGATCCGCCATGCTCTCAAGATTCTGTGAAGATTAGGTAAGTTAGTATTTTTACTTATTTGAGGATATTATTTTTATGCATTGTTCTAAATGTAAGGAATAAATAAATTAATATGGTATTATTGGAAAATTGTTATTAGCAATGATTTAGTTTAAAGTAATTAGGATTGTAATCTAATTTTTATTAATTTAATGTATGTGCTTATTTATATTTTAAGTAGTGTTTTTTAATTTAATTATATTTTAATTTAATGATCGTGATTTTGTGAGTTATATGTTTGTATTATTTTGGAATATGTTTGAGTAGAATACGTTGAGTATTTTCATGCATTTTCGTGAAATTTTTTTAATTTATGAGAAAAAAGCAGTGTACATGGATATACTGAAGAGTGTGCACAATGCCATTTTTGTGCAATTCTGGGATGTTTTTTTAAGTAAAAATAAGTCGATGTGTACATGGTTTAATTATATTTTAATTAAATGATAGTTATTTTGTGAATTATTTTTGTAGCAATTTGGTATACGTTTCAGTGGAAGTAAACATGCATGGAAATAATTTAAATATTTGACACTAAGTATTTGTAACCATTTTAATGTTTTGTATAAATTCGTTGGTGACGTTTATAATATAAATTTAGAGGTAAAAGTTTTTGGATATTTTATTTTATATCATACGTGGAAATGTTCATCCTTGGAAAGGGTATATACTTTTTCGCGATCAGGTAATTTCATATATGTCCTTTTTCCCGAGTTTAAAGATTCACAAAATTTTCCTGCATTTTCGTGCAAATTTTTGTAATTTATGAGAAAATAGCAGTGTAGATGGATAAAGTCAAGAGTGTGCACTGCCATTTTTGTGCAATTCTGGGATGTTTTTTTAAGTAAAAATAAGTCGACGTGTACATGGTTACTGTGTATGTGCATTTCTGAAAAACGTGGCAAGGGTTTGTGATTCTGCACTTTTCCCCAATTTTGCAGTTAATATTTGTCATGATTAAGCAGTTTTGTTCCATAAAATTTCTAGCATAAGTGTAATTTGGCTAGCAGATTGTTGGAAAAAGTGTTGAATAAATAAAAAGAAAAGAAACATGTCTTTACTTCGTGAAGACAAAATGGTGGCGAAAAAAAAATAGAGGGTTGCTGTAGCAGAGTTGGTCGCCAAATTTTCGCCAAAAAATCGCCAAGTTACCATAATCCAAAGATTAACCGAAATTATTTCATTTATCACTGAAATCAGAGTATGGAAGGGTTATTTTTCATATGGAACGAGATGCTTTCATGGAGGATTTTCTAACAGAAACTGCCTCATAGTCATGTTCAGTTTTTTTTTTTTTTTTTTTTTTTTTTTTTTTTTTTCTCACATGAATAATGAAATTCGTAAAATGAACAATGGGCAAAAGATTCACAAATTTCTTCAAACTGTTTAAATTTTTTAATTGCTTTGATTCAAAAAGTTGTTTTTATAGTTAAAAAGCACTCTTTCATACAAGTAAACACGAAAAAAGAAACTGTAATGCGTAGACAGGAAACTAAATTTTCTAACATTTTAATGCAATTTTTTTATCTATATATTACGAAATAAGAAAATTTTTAGAATTTGAATGGAAACTATACAAATTAAAAAAGCAAGAACTATGATTTCCATTTGAATCAGGTTGCAAGTTACGCATATAAATAGTTCTGGAATATAAAAATAACTCATTAATATTTATACATAATTAAACTTGAGAATATGTTGAATTATAAAATAAAGCACAAAATAAGTAAATAATAAAAAAACTGGCGTGTATCCTAAAAGCACCAGTTTTTAATACAAAATTTCAGATAGCTTCTTTATAAATTTCACTTAAAAAATTATCTTCCTTAAACCAAAGCGTTATTGGAGCGTAAACACAGATTAACAAACGTTTTATCAGGAAAAATACAATTTCTGTTTTCCTACCATGTTTTGGTGTCAAACTCCCATCACTTCTGCTACACCAAAGACTGTAATCACCCTTCAGAAGTACATAATAATCACTATTCATTAAAAGCTCCATTTTACATAATATACAAACGCGCTGCTATAAAATAATGTTGTACTAAACGTTACATTTAAACAGTTTGCACATAAACACCCGTACTTCGTCTGTCATAAAAAAAAATAAATAATAATGTTAACTGAACGGTTACCGTTATGGAATAGTACGCCAATTCAGTTTTGGTTCTGTAATTTCCTAAAACCAAGGAGGTTAGAATAGACCTCCTTGGGGAAAACTATACTTATGTTGCACTGCCTCACGTTCTTCTAATAGCATCTCCTTCGAAATTATAATAAACAGCAGCATAATTTTAAATTTGTCATTTTCAGTCATATGTAACTAAGTTATTTAACCATGTAACTAATACAAGATTTAATTAAAAAATTAAGTTTTATTTATAACTTATTATATTTTAACCCCAAAAACAATTGTTAATTTTTTAGTAATGAATATTTCCTAGAGCTCAAGTGGCATAATCTAAATAACAGTACTTACAGGGTCAGCGCCGAGCGACTAAATTTCAACTCGGCAGGAAAATTTGATTGGTCAACGGTACACGTCACATCTGACGTCAAAAGCGGGGTGTTTTAGATTTAACAAGCGTCTAGCCTAAGGCTCCTATAGAGAGTTTTAGAGGAGCCTAGATGCTAGCCCCTCAGATGCTAGTTTCCTCCTGATTCCTCCCTGATCATTTGCGCAGATTCACGCGCAGCGTGTTTATGTCAGGGAGCTCGGCATGCAGAAAAAAATCAGCTGGCACCGACGCCGTGCCGTCAAGTTACGAAAGTGCTGCGCATTACTCAGTGCAAATTAATTTCTTTTATTAGTTTTTCTACAGTATTTTTTTTTTTAAGTCGGATACATATTTACATGTTGTTATTGATTTTTGCTTGTTTCTCATTTTCTATCAAATAATATATTATAAAAGAATTCCTGGGTTTTCATCCGCAGAGAACCCGTTGGCGCTTCGGGAGCGAACCCGTTGGCGCCGTTCCATTTTTACTCGCCAAGCTCGCGTTTCATCGACGCTTGAGGCGAGCCGTAAACGTGATACTTTGTAAACGTGATTTTTAGTGCATGTAAATTCTAGTTAGCAGACTAAACAATATATTAAGCATATGGTAGTAAAAATTCACAGATAATAAGCATGTAGATGTAAAACTAACAGGTTAAACGTGATATAAGGAAATAAATTGGTATTAAATTTAAACAGAAATTAATTATTAAATTATTAACTTTTGTTATGAATTTTGCTGATTATGATACTTCTCATTTTAACCTATGCCATTTGACATAAAATCAACTGCTACTTACTAAACCGCTAGCCGACCAAGTTGTGACATTATGAGACATAAAAAAAAAGTTACATAAAGTTAGTAAAATGTAAATGTCACTTCTTTCAAATATGCCCAACTATTATAAGTGTAAAAATATTTAATGCTACTTGATCAATTACTTAAAGTTTATTTCATTTTCAAACTTATTAATAATTATGTTAATTCATGTTTAGTAATAATACATACTACTTATGGATCTATTTTATTTAGGATGGTATTACATTGAAATGCAGGCATCCTATATTTTAATTGAATTTTTATTCAGTTCGCGTTTACTCATAGGTCCTGATTTTTTTTCATTAATGGTCCTAATTTCTGTGTGCAGAAATGTGTAGAACTCTGATTAACAGTTTTCAGTATTTTTTTTTTTTTTTTTTTTTTTTTTTTTTTTGTTACTTGCATGCAGGTTTAAAGCATTTACATTGAAACAAATACCCATCCTTTCATAATTTATTTCACAATACTAATAACCTTCACAGTAATCAAAATTTTCTTCAGTAGCATTGTTAATAAAACTTGAACATTACACCTTCATTACTTTTCAAGAGTCATTTGAACTATATTCCTTACACCAGCATGGTTTGCTAATTTTGATGACCATGGGAATACATAAACTATTCTGTCACAGATAATCAGTAATAATAGTATTTATTATTAAATTTAATAATCTATTTGTCACACTGCATCCTCTGAAAGGTTATTGTAAAAAAAGCATTAACAATTTGTTACAATTTTACCCTTAAAATTGATTTATTATCATAGTTTAGGTGACAATAAACATAATAAAAAAAAAAGCATTACTTAATATTTAAAACGCACATTTTTTGCGGATACGAAAACGAATTATTTGAGCGTTCGAACCTCATGGTTCTGCGTGCGTACAGCTGTTAATTCTGTTCACAACGTGAAACCGTGTTACAAATTAATTCACCCCTCCCGCTTTATTTTCTTCCTTTCATCCCGAACCGAGAACCGGGATTACGAAAATTTATCTCGTTGTTAAAAAAAAAAAAAAAAGTATAATAAAAGAGAATAATAGAAATCTGCAATGCGAAGAACACAGTGATAACCGAAACAAGGACGCAATGAATGGTTGCAAACAAGCGAGGTTGTGAAATCCGCTGGGTTACCAGATTTAACTATTATCGCCAAATTGGCAATGTTTAGGGTTCTCTCGGATGCTTCCGAATTGACATTCACTACTTATGGTAATCATGTTGTTTGTGTATTTAATCATAGTGGCGCAGCCCGTGTGATAAAAAAGAATTTTTTTCAAGACATGCAGCCTCGGTATGTTCTAAACAAAAACTCTGGGAAGTTGTTACTGTGAAATCGAAACTTATATCGCTGGTAAGTGAGTTGTTTATTTTATTGGAAGTGGCTAAAAATACGTATAATAAAACTATTAATGTCCTAAATTAAATATGGATGGATAAAGCCACCAAGTAATCTAAGTTTCGAAGGAAATTTAAGCGAAAAAATGGAAAATGGAAACAAAAATTCCAAATTTATGTTAGCGTCTGGTGGTATTACTAAATCACCTGAAATTAAAGTAGCTATTTTATTGCATATAATTGGTGAAGAAGCACTTGAAAAATTTAATACTTTTAATTTAAGTGAAGAAGATAAGAAGGATGTTGACAAAGTAATTGAAGCTTTCGAACATTTTTGCATACCGAAAGCAAACGAAAGTTTGATAGACATATATTTTCTGTCGAACACAAATGTAGGTGAATCGTTTGATGATTTCTTAACCGATTTAAAGAAATTAAGTAGCAACTGTGGATTTGCAGAATTAAAAGATAGTTTAATAAGGGATAGAATAGTAAGTGGAATTCTAAATAAAAATCTCAAAGACAGATTATTAAGGGAAGATCAGTTAACATTGGAGAAATGTATTAAAATGTGTAAAGCTTCTGAATTAGCAGAACTTCAGCTGAAAACTTTAACTGAGAAAATAAAATAGAAGCTATCAAACGTAATAAATTTCGACCTTCAGAAGAAAAAAGTCAGCCTTGTAAGAAGGACTATCATGTAAAACAAAGTACTAAATCTTCTTCAAATATCAAGGAAATAGTACAATAATCCAAAAACCATGTAGAAAATGTGGAACTTTTCATAAGTTTATACAACTGTCCTGCTTATAATAAGATTTGCTTTACTGTACGTAAAAAGAAAATCACTTTTCTAAAATGTGCACTTTTAAAATGTTAATGTTGTACAGAATAATTAGAGCATGAGTTACATAATAATGGTAATGAATATATTTTAGGGTCAGTAGAAGATATAAATCCATTTTCTAAAAATAAAACCGAATGGTTTGAAAAAAACTAAAAGTAAACATATCTCAAATATTTATTTGTTAAGTTGGATACTTCAGCTCAGTGTAATGCGCTTACCATTGCCTAAATTTAAATAATTAAATTTAAGAGAATAAATGTTTGACTAAATCAAAAGTCAATTTAAATAATTACAATGATACTACAATTGATGTAGTTCGGAAAATGTAAATTATTATATGAAACATCAAAAGGGAACAAGGATGAAATAGAATTTCAAGTCATAGCATGTGATAAAACTGTTCCAACTATTTTAGGTTTACCTACTTTGCAAAAGTTAAACCTAATACAAAGGATTTGTACAGTAAATCCTAATTCCAATGAAAAGTCACCAGAATCTTTAAAAGGATATCAAAATTTGTTTAAAGGAACTGGAAATTTAACTGGATGTACATATCATATTAAATTAAAACCAGAAGCTGTTGCTAAAATATAACCTTGTAGGAAAATTCCACTTAACTTATTAAATCCATTAAAAAAGGAATTAGCAAGAATGGAAAAAGATGGTATTATTAAGAAAGTTAACCAACCAACAGAATTCGTGAATTCATTAGTGGTAGTAAGGAAAAAGGATGGAAATTTAAGAGTGTTTTAGATCCTCAGCACCTTAACCAAAAATATACTGAGAGAACATTATCACATACCAACCTTTGAAGAAATTTCATCTCAAATGACAAATGCAAAGGTCTTAGTATTTTAGATACAAACAAAGTATTTTGGTAAATTACACTGTCAGATTCAAGTTCGTGAATTTACTACATTTAACACTCCGTTTGGTAGATATTGTTTTTTGAGGTTGTCCATATGGACTGAGTTCATCACCAGACGTTTTCCACAGAAGTTTTTCTGAAACTTTTAGTGATTTAGAAGGAGTTCAATATATATAGATGACTTATTAGTTTGGGGTAAGATAAAAAAAAAAGAACATGATTCAAGATTAAAGAAGTTGTTGGACAGAGCCAGAGAAAAGAATGTTAAATTTAATTTAAATAAATGTAAATTTGGGCTGAATGAAGTGATATATGGGACATATATTTTCTAAAGATGGTTTAAAACCAGATGAGACAAAATTAAGGCTATTCTAGATATAAAAAACCACCAAAAAATGTGAAGAATTAGAAACTTTCCTAGGAATGATTACATATGTTTCTAGATTTATACCTAATTATCAGAATTGACATCATGTTTAAGAGATTTGTTGAAAAAACAAGTTATCTGGAACTGGAATGCAACACATGAAAAAGCATTTAGAAGACTAAAGATGTCTTGGTAAATAAACCAGTTTTACAGTATTATGATATAAACATGCCAGTAGTTTTATCTGTAGATGCATCTCAAAGGACTAGAGCAGTCTTACTGCAGAATAATTACCAGTGGCATATGCATCTAAGGCATTAACAGATACACAGAAGAATTATGCTCAATTGAAAAGGAAACTTTAGCTATTTATTTGCGTGTGAGAAATTTCACCAGTATTATTTGGAAAAAATATTACTGTGGA